ATTTTACTTTACTTATCCTTCTTGGGCTGGGATTCTAACAGCTTTCCATATCATCAAAGACAGGTGTTGAGCCTTTGTATCAACGACCAGGGAGCTCTCCCTGTCTTAGCCTCTTCAGAGTGCCCTTCCCCTTGAACTTGTCCCAAACCTCTTCCTAAGCTGTGCCACATGCTCAGCCATGCCCTCTGGGAAAACTTGCTGAATCAATCCAGTACAGGCCGCAGACCTCCCTGGCTCTCTCTGGTCATGTAATTTCTACCACATTTGTGTGCTCATCCTCAGCAGCAAATCCTCACTCCTGGCATATAAAGGTGACGTTAGGGGAACACATAGCTACATAGGATGTGAGCCTATGGCTTTGGTTTGTCAACTCTAAGGATGGCTCCTGCTTAGGTCCTTGATCTAATAATGTAAGGAAGAGGAAGCACTGACAAAACCGGGAGAGCCCAAGCACAATGATGTACTGCTCATAGCTTAAAAAACAACAGCAAAAATAAAAACGTTTTTTAAAAAAGCAGCATTTCTACTTGGAAGCTTCATTAAGAGGCAGCAGGAGGGCAAATCCAGGTATTACAGCAAATGTGTAATGTGAGTCTAGCCTTCAGTGGGTTGAAGTTACAGGAAAATATATTCTCTTCCCAACCTCGAAATCCCTATTCCCATCACAAAATAGCAGTCCTGGGTCAGAAACTGATTTAGCCTTTCACTGAAGAATTTCCTCCTGGATCCTGGCAGAGCTTGGTGGCCACCTGATGGCCCCATTCTTCAGAGGGAATGAACACCATCAGCCTGTGCACAAGCCTGGCCTAAGCATAACCCTTGAGACTCAGAACCTGGCTTCAGAAGAACGGGAAGGCCAGAAGGCAAGCGGGAACGGAGACAGGGTGAGAACCCTCTCCAGCTGATTACCTCTCGTGGAAATACCAGGTCAGGGGAAGGAAGTCTTCAATAGCCAGCAGCCTCAAGTAGAAATGAAGAGCTGGCCGCCCTCTAAGAGTCGCTGTCACTGAGGAAGGGTGAGCCAGAGCTTCTGACTTTCCCCACAGCCCCTGGGGGGCACCGCCTGCCCGCCCTCTCTGAGCTCTCCTCTCCCATCCTCTTGTCCTCAGCCCTCACTCCAGTGTTCACACACACATCCCACAGTCAGAGAAGTTAGTGCTATCCTGGGTGAACTCTATAGGTTAAGCCCTAAAGGCAACTAATGTGTTTTAAAAAACAAATCCCAGCGATATTTTTGGAGGAAATATGCTGGAGGAAAATATAAAAGCAATGTTTTTATTTTTTATTATTATTATTTTTTTTAGCTGAGCCATCTTGCCACGTGTTGGCAGCTCAGCTCGGGCTAAGAATCAAACCAGCGACCGTATTGCTCAGAGCGAGCTCTTAACCAACTGAGCCACTCGGCCAGCCAGAAAGCAATGTTTTTAATAGCATCTCTAGTAATGATGATGGTGAGCACTGCAAATGAAATCTTCAGCCATCAATCCTGAGCTTCTCCACCAGGGAAAACAATAAGATGTCTATCTCGCCTTTGTTGGGAATTTGATAAGAATTCCCATCTCCACTGTTTTCTTCTGTGCTCTTAGACAAATGCAAATCCTGAAGCACACACTAGAGGTCGCTGTTTGTTACAATCCGAGTTCACCTCCCCAGACCAGAGAGGGAGGGAAGGCCCCACCACCTCTCTTCACCTTAGAGGGCTCAACCTGAGGGCTTTCGCATCAGGCAATTGTTCACTCCCAGGCTAGCTACAGCCAGGATGCATTGACCTGCAGCTGCACTGCCCTTCATTACACAGACAGAAGTATAAAAGTAAAGCAAATCATCAAAGGTGCTTCAAATTAATTATAATTTTTTTCATATTGCATAGTTTGTGTCCTTTAAACACTTCCCCTATTACTATGCTTTTCCCTCCTCTACTATCCAACGTATCACTTCTTTCCAGGTGACTTATCAATCGATTTGAGGAACGTACAATAAGAAGGAGTTGAATAAAAGCCCAGGTTTAAATACAGACCATACTTGTAGCTAACCACTGCCACTGACACCCCAGGGTTGGTATCCTTCCCAGCTGGTTCTGTGCCCAGAATATAAAACAGCTAAGAACTAAAATGACAAGACAACAGAGCTGATAACACTGTAAGCAATTATAGCCTCTCTTGATGCTGAGATTTCTAGAGATGCTACTCTAAGAGCAGTATTCTAATCAAAGCCATTATTAAAGAGCCACAGCTCAGGCTGGCTGGCTCCTATTCGTCCTTTCCTAATTCTCCTAATTATGTCCGTCTGTTCTTTCTGTAGCCCTAACTTTGGAAATTGCAATTCTTTCAACACAAACCAATCCCTAGGGCGATACAGAGGCCGGACTTGACAGAAAAATCAGCAGTACTATCGTTTCAAGGCAAGTCACGAACATTTATTTATTGTTTGGTACATTTCCACTCCTGTCCTTTACTCTAGATCCAAAGTAGAATCTAGTTGGGAATGCAGGGTTATTACACATGCGGACACTGGCACAATGTATAATTCAGCATTAAGATCACGGCACAGACTCCAAGCCTTAGGGAAATTCTGAAAGATAGAGCCCAAAGCACTGAGGTAGATGGAAAAGGCTTCTTGGTGAAGAGTGGGCTTTAGCCTCTTCTGCATGCGGGCAGTGTGCAAAGGCTGGCAGCACATGGGGGGGGAGAGGGGCGGGGCAGCGTAGCAGGCCCAGAGAGGAAGTCACGACTGCGGCTTTTGTGAGGACACTGGCGCCCCCTGTGGCCAAAGCGGTGCTGTTGTCCCAGGCTGAGTAGCACAGGAAGAGAAAAACCACGAATGGTGCTAGAGCAGGAGTGACATTACGAGTGCGCTGCTGGGGAGGAGTCTAGCTGTGCACTTCAAAAAAAAAATTCTGTTAATATACGTAACATGAAATTTACCATTTTAATCATTTTAAGCGTATAATTAAATGGCATTAATATATTCACATTTTTGTGCACCTGTCACCACTCTCGATGTCCAGAACTTTTTCATCCTCTCAGACACTCTGTGCCCATTAAACAGTAACCCCCCATGTGTTCCTTGCCCCATCCCCTGGTAACCTCTAATCTACTTTCTGTCTCCATGAATTTGTCTAGTCTAGGTACTGCATATAAATGGAATCATACACTATTTGTCCTTTTCTGTCTGGCTTCTTTCACTTAGCATAATGTCTTTAAGGTTCATCCATGGTGTAGCATGTCATAACTTTTTAAGGCTGAATAGTCTGTATATACTACATTTTGCTTATCCATTCATCTGTCAATGGACAATTGGGTTGTTTCTACCTTTTGACTACTGTGAATAAAGTTGCTATGAATATTGGTGCACAAGTATCTGTTTTGAGTCCCAGCTTTCAATTCTTTGGGATTTATACCTAGGAGTGGAATTGCTGGATCGATATGGGAATTCTGTGTTAAGTTTTCTGTGTTTAAGCTGTTTTCCACAGGTAACATTTTACATTCCCACCGACAAAGCACAAGGATTCCAGTTTCTCCACATCCTCACCAACACTCATTATTTTCTGTTTGTTTGGGTTTTTTTACAATAGCCATGCTAATGGGTCTAAAGTGGTATCTCACTGTGGTTTTGATTTGCATTTCTCTAATGATTAGTGATACTGAACATCTTTTCATGTGCTTGTTGGCCATATGCATATCTTATTTGGGGAAATATCTATTCAAGTCCTTTGCCCATTTCTGTGACCTTACACTTGTGAGGCAGTATGATGTTTCCATCCTGGTTTGGCCACTTCCTAGCTGTGTGAGCCTGAGCTAGTTACATAATTTCTCGGTGCCTCAGTTCCTTCGTCTATAACATAAAAATAATACGATCCGCCTCATAGGACTGTATAAAAATTGAGTGTGTTTGTATCTGTAAAGCACTTTGAGTAGTGCTATAGTAGATACTCAGAAAATGTTGGATTGATTAATATATGAGGTAGCTTGGAAAGGGGAGAGACTGCATATGGGGGAGCAGTTGGGAGACAGTGTCCTGCCACCAGCATTGGTGGGAATGGCCTCACAGATCCTGTAGACTATCCCTTTTCAGTAATAGTAAAGGAAAGAAACAAAATGTTACACCCAAGAGCCAGTGGCAAGAGAGACCCATGAAGCCACATCTCCAGAGCCCAAGTCCAGGACTCTTTCTAACACACTGTCTCTCTTCCTTTGCAGCCTGCAACATTCTGTTAATATCCTCATGGGATAAGACTTGAACATCTTCAAAACCACCTCGATGTCATCTGATTAGCATCACAAGCTTGGATCAATGGGCCTGCCAATGTTGCCACTCTGAGGATAAAGGGGGAGCTTGTATGAGCAACAGGCAGCGTTGCCTCCAAAATTCCCTTTTGGCAAAAAGAAGCCCCAGGCTCTCCTCTGTTCCAAGTGCTCCAGTTCTCAGTCAGCATCACAGTTCTTAAGAACAAACTCCCACCTTTCCCTCTTACCTCCTACATATGTGGGAGCTCAATTAGAGTAGACGATGTGGGGCTATGGGACCCTCTCTCCTAGAGAGATGACCCTTGGGATCCCCACAAAAGGGCCAAGAGTGCAGGCAACCTCACTCATTTCAGATGATGGTCTTACCAAATGGAACCCTGTGTAGTCTTGTGAAGCTCTGTGCCTGCCAATAAGTAAGAAAATGCTAACTGCCTCCCAGCCCCCACAGTGGCAGGTGACACAGAAAGAGGTGGATAAATGGACAGAAAATGAGCTGAGGCTACATGGCCTGCCGAAGACTTTCACAGCACCTCAGAAAGAGCACACCTGGCATCACTAATGAGTCGATGTGGCCTCTTTCCATAGTGCCTGAAGCTGACATTTATTTCCAGTTTCCCAAACTGTCCTGCCTCCGGCAGCAGAATCCATCAATATCAGTTTTACATAAACCCGGATGCTCTGTGTCTCTATCTTAGATTCAGCTAATATGATTTCTCCTGTCCACCGCCCCTAAACAATGCAACACGCACTTACTTCATCTCTGACTAAGCCGCACGGCCCCTCTCTGTATGGTCTGCCTTCAGATGATTCACAATCACATTTCCTGTTTGGTTTCCTTTATAGATGCATGGCTCCTGGTGTTTTTACCCATCTTCTCGAGGTGCATCCGGCCCAAGAACGCTTATCGCACTTGTCCGTTTAGCAGCTGTACTTCTCCACCAACACAACCCTGGGCAGAAGACAGTGTCACATGTTTAAAATGTTTTCATCATGTCTTCTCCCTCCTACTTTTCCTCTTTTCTTCTAGTTCCAGTGAGAGTGGGCTTTTATAACCTCAGGGTCCCAGATACATCTTCTGTAACAGCATGTCTGATGAGCAAGAAGCACGAACAGGCCCATCACCAAGGTCTCCCTTTGGCAGAAGGACAAGGCCAAAGAAACCCACAGCAGGAAAAGTGGCCCCCAAGGCCCTGCTGAGCCATTTGGAGGAAGAAGTCAGAGCTTTGGGGTTGACCCAGAACACCAAGGATGATTAACAGCCCACAAAGAAGGCAGCTGTGTTACAGAGATAGTTTTCTCTTTTCCTTTTTTTTTCCAAAACAGATTTTTATTAAAATATAGCTAACGTACAATATTAGTTTCAGGGGTACACCATAGTTATTCAACATTTATATACCTATAGAAGTGAGCACCATGGTAAGTCCAGCCACCATCTGACACTGTACCACATTATCACAAGATTACTGACTATATTCCCCTATGCTGTCTATTACGTCCCCATGACTTATTTGTTTCATACCTGGAAATTTGGACTCCTTATTCCCCTTCACCTTTTCCCCCCTTTTTTCATTTTTCAATTACAATTGACATTCAATATTATTTTATGTTAATTTCAGGTGTACAGCATAGTGGTTAGACATTTATATACCTTAAGAAGTGAACCTCTGATGAGTCTAGTACCCACCTGGCACTATACATAGTTATTACCATATCATTGACTATATGCCCTTTGCTTTACATCCCCATGACTGTTTTGTAACTACCAATTTATACTTCTTAATCTCCACCATTTTCCACTGACAACCCCAACCCCCCTCTCTTCTGGCAACCATCAAAATGTCTTCTGTATCTATGGATTTGTTTCTGTTTTGTTTCTTAATTTTGTTCTTTAGATTCTTTATATAAGAGAAATCACATTGCATCTTCTTTCTCTGTCTGACACTCCACTTAGCACAATTCCCTCCAGGTCCATCTATGCCACCACAGATGGCAAGAACCCATTCCCTTCCACAGCCGAGCAACATTCCATTGTATATATGTACCACCTCCTCTTTATTCATTCTTTCATCAACAAATATCCAGGCTGCCTCCACATCGTGGCCATTGTAAGCAATGCTGCAATGAACATATGGATGCATACATCCCCTCAAGGTAGCATTTTGAGTTTCTTTGGATAAATACCTTGAAGTGGGATTACTGGGTCCTTCATTGTCTCTTCTTATAGCCTTTGTTGTAAAGTTTATTTTGTCTGGTATAAGTATTGCTACTCCAGCTTTTTTGTTGTTTTTTTCATTTTCATTTTCATGAAATATCTTTTCAATCCTTTTACTTTCAGTCTGTGTGTGTCTTTCAATCTGAAGTGAGTCTCTTGTAGGCAGCATATGTAAGGGTTTTGTTTTCTTATACATTCAGTCCTCCTATGTTTTTTTATTGGAGCATTTAATTCACTTACATTGAAAGTAATTGTTGATAGATATGTAGCTATTGCCATTTTACTATTCAGTTTTGATTTTTTTTCCCATCTTAAAGAAGTCCCTCTAACATTCCTTGTAATACTGGTTTGGTGGTGATGGACTCCTTTAGCATTTTCTTGTCTGGGAATCTCTTTAGACCTTCAATTCTAAATGATAGTTTTGCTGGGTAGAGTAGTCTTGGTTGTATGTCCTTACTTTTTATCACATTCAATATTTCATGCCAATCCTTCTAGCCTACAAAGTTTCTGTTGAGAAATCAGCTGACAATCTTAGGGACATTCCCTTATAAGTTACAGTTGCCTTTCTCTTGCTGCATTTAGGATTCTCTCTTTGTCTTTAACCTTTGCCATTCTAATTATAATGTGTCTTGGTGTGGGCCTGTTTGGGTTCATCTTGTTTGGGACTCTCTGTGCTTCCTGGGCTTGTATGTTTATTTCCTTCACCAGGTTAGGGAAGTGTTCAGTCATTATTTCTTCAAATGGGTTTTCAATCTCTTGCTTTCTCTCTTCTCCTTCTGGTACCCCTATGATGCAAATGTTGTTACACTTAATGTTGTCCCAAAGGTCTCTTAAACTATCCTCATTTTTTTTTATTATTCTTTTTTCTTTTTGCTGTTCTGATTGTGTGTTTTCTGCTACCTTGTCTTCCAAGTCACTTGATCCTTTGCTTTATCTAGTCTACTGGTGATTCCTTCTAGTGCATTTTTCATTACAGTCATTGTATTCTTTATTTCTGACTGACAGGTTCTTTTTTAAGGTTTGTATATCCTTTTTTCATGCTTGCCATCTCTCTGTTGAAGCTCTCACTAAGTTCCTTGAGTATCCTTATAACCATTGTTTTGAACTCTGTCTCTGGTGGGTTGCTTGCCTCCATTTCATTTAGTTCTTTTTCTGGATATTTCTCCTATTCTTTTATTTGTAACCCATTTCTTTGTTTTCTGATTTTGGCTGCCTTGCTGGGTTTGTTTCTATGTATTAGAAAGATCTGCTATGTCTCCCAGTCTTGGCTGGATGGTTATGTAGTAGGTGCCCTGTGGGACCCTGGCATAGTCTCCCTGATCACTTGCTCCAGGTGCTCCAAAAGTGTCTCTTGTGTAGATTGTGTGTGTCCTCCTGTTATAGTTGAGCCTTGATTGCTATTGGCATGTAATTGGGTGGGATTGGCCCTCAGGCTGATTGGCTGTGGGGTTTGGCCATATCCACAGCTTATGGGCTGCTGTGCAGGGGACTTACCATGCTGAGTTGGATTCACTCTAACAGGCTTTGGTGCCTATTGAGACTGACCTTTGTGTATATCACTTGTGAAACTAATTGGACAGTGTTCTGTGGTCTAAAACCAACCTCCAACTATGTTGGTTCTGAGGCCTCTTGGGATGAGCTCTGGTGCAGACACAGGTCAGCCACTGCCTGTGACTGACCAGGGACTACCTGGTAGGAGCTACAAAGCTATCTGCAGTTGTTCACTGCCTGTGCTAAAGTTGGAGGCATGTAGGAGAGGACACACTTAAAACTGAAGATGGCTACCACCAATACCAGGCCTGGGTAGCTCCACAAAAAGCCAGAACACCTCAGACCTGCTGCAACCAGCTGGCTCCCTTGATATCCAGCCACTGATAAAGCCTTGTATAGTACACGAGTTCAGTGAGGCAGGGTCTCAATTAGTCACTAGAGTGGGAAGAGTTGTGGTCACCAGGTTAATGTAAATTCTGGTTTGGTGCCAGTGCAGAGCCTGGAGCAACTCAGCAAAAGTCTGAGAGCACACCAAGGCCAGTCACCAGCCCACCTGGGGCCTGCAGACTCTGATAGTTTTCCAAGATAGAGTGCAATGTGGGTGGGGCTGGCTAGTAGCCAAGAAAGTGCCTCCAGCATTGGGGGAGTTGGGTATGGTGGGGTCCCAGTGAGTCAGCAGGGCGGAGCAAGCAGAGCTCACCAGACCAATCAGGTTCAGATTTGGCCTGTGGGGGAGAGCTCAACGCAGGAAAGATGGTGTCTGCCTGCCGGCTGCACTAGAGAAGGCCCTCTCACAGGGAAATGGCAACTGTCCTCCAGCCCTAGCCTCAAAACCACATACCACAGTCTGCCCCCCCATATGCTTCTGACTCTCCCCAAATCATCATCCCTCTGAGTCCAGGGTGAGTGTCTGCAAACAAGTGAGTCTATATGTGGGCCATTTGAGAAGATGTCTGGGTTTCCCCCAGCCTTCCATCAAACTGGGATGTTTGGAATATCCACTGGCTTTTTGTTTTTGTTTTGTTTTGTTTTTAAAGATTTTTATTGGGGAATTGGGGGATGGGAACAGCACTGGGGAATTGGGGGAAAGGGAACAGACAAGTTGCTGTCGTTTTGTTCGTCAGTCTAGTTGTGGAGGATGTTGCTTCACTGGCCCAAGTTGGCACCATCATTGCGCTCTTCCTGGGCGAGGCAGATCAGTCGCCGGCTTCTGGACGGTCGCTCATGGCAGCTGCTGGCCGCTCACGCTGGCTGCTGGCTACACATGGTAGCCCATGGCAACCCACTGCAGCAGGGGCTGCAGCCTACGCCAACAGCAGCGACTCATGGCAGCCCAGCTCCAGGTTGAGCTGTTGTTCAGCATCTTAGCTGTGGAGGGCAGTGTCACTGGCCCTCATATGTGGGATCCGAACCGGGGCCCTCTGGCATCCCAAGCCAGTTCTTAACCATCGCGCCACTCGGCCGGCCCTACCCACTGTTTTTCACAGCCAGATATTGTGGGGCTCCACTTCTCGGCACCAGTACTCCAGGCTGGGGAGCTTGGTGGGGTTCCTCGCTCCTCTGGAGGGAACCTCCATGGCTGAAATATTCCTCCTAATTCTCAACTGCCACACAGAGCTTTGGGGCCTGTTCCATGTCTCTGCCCCTCCTATCAGTCTCAATGTGGCTTCCTTTTTATATTTTTAATTATAGGACTTCTGTCCAGCTAGACTTCAAATGGTCCTCCAGGTTGATTTTTTTTTTAATTTAGTTGTAATTTTAATGTGTTCATGGAAGAACTCAGGCACAGTGCTCATCTACTCCACCATCTTGGATCTCTCCCTAGACTGGTGGTTTTCAGACTATGCTTTCCAGAGGTACAGAGGAGTGGAGGGGTGGGGGGAGGTGGGAGGGGAGCAAAAGGGGGAGAGAGAGGGAGGGAGAGAGAGTAGCGAACAAGCTCGGGGCCTCCTCCTTCAATTCAAGCAGAACAACTCTGAGTTTGTACATTTCATACAAGCTTTTCTTTGGGAAAATGGTTTCTGTGGCTCCAAATATACAAACTCACTAGTGTACTTGAAAGATCACTGTCCTAGAAGTGAGTCCTTGGGCCCCAACCTATACCCATAGCCTTGGGCAAGACACCAAACTTCTCAAGGTCTCCCTGCCACATCTGAAATGGAAAGACTTAGACTAGGAAATGGCCAAGACCCTTTCCGTTTGATGATCGCCTCTTAAATGTTATTTGTAACCTTTAAATGAC